GAGTCGGCCCCCCGCTCGCCCGGGCCTGCCGCACCACATCCACGAATGTGTTCGCAGCGTGATCAAGAGCAGGATCCGGCTGGCGGCCAGATGAGCCGCGCCCTCCGCCATTCCGCCGGCCCCGCCGCCCAGCGGAACCACCCGAATTCGGACGCGGAGGGGACGGCTCGCGACGACCTGATTCCCAGCGACGCCCAGGCGACCCCTTCCCCCGCGTCGCCGGAGCTCGCCGAGGTGATTGTTGAGCGGGGGATCGCGCTCGGGGTGAGCGCTGGCCTGCTCGACCACGAGGAGACGGGCGCCGAGGAGAGCGAGGACGCTCAGGGGAGCGCGGATCCCCCTCCCTGCGCTGATAGTGTTCGCGACGCGCGGGAGATAGGCGACGAGGAGACGGCTGCCGTTGGGGATGACGCTGAGGCGAGCGCCCGCGCTGCTGCGGCTGCTGACCGTCAGGACGGTTCGACGCTACACGCGCAGGAGCCCACGAATACTCAGAGGGGGAGAGGCGCGAGGCTGGCTGATGGGGAAGAGTCTGCACCCGCTCGAATCGGTGAACGGGCTCGCTTGCGGAGGGATGCGCAGGCAGTCGTGGCCGAGGCTCGGCAGGCGCAGGCTCCCGCGGCGCGCTCTCCGCGGAATGCTCAAGCTCCGGATCCCGTCTTGCGGACGGGTCCATCACTCCCGACCGTAGCGCAGCAGATGCCAGCGCGCCGACGAAGGGAAGGCGAGACGACCGCGGCGCCGCTGGCGGGGGGCGAGGGAGTCGCAGTAGCAAGAGCAACGCGCGGAATCTGCGTCGGACGCGGCAGTCGCCGCGGACGAAGGGGTAGCGAGCGGGGACGGGGAGGCGGCGGTGCGCGGGGCACGAACAGACGCCGCACAGGAGCCAGCGGCTTCGCGAGAAACGCGGAGAGGCTGATACGTCAGAGCGCGAGAGGCGGCGAGGAGGAACTTCGCGAGGAGGCTGAGGAGGCTACGGAGAATGAGAGAAGTGACGAGGGGGACCCCTTATTTAACCCTGAAAGAGAGGGGTTGTTAGGGGTTGAAGTCGAGGAGGATGACGAGGAGTTGGATCGCCTACTCCAAGGAGAGGAGGTCCCCAGCCCACGTGCCCGAGGCGTTCCTGCCAACCAAACCAGATCCGAAGGTGTGGGGCAAATCCCAAACCTGGGCCGAGCCGCATCTGCAACCCCAACCCCCAGAAATCGGACCGCGAGACCAAACCGAACCGCCCCCAACATTGCGGTTACCACCGCCCCAGCCAGTAACGCGGGCCCAACGCCTGCCACCCCCGCCCCAATCATCAGCGCTGACATCCTGGCAAGACGTCAAGACCTTTTCGCTGACATCGCCAACTGGGACCTCGGCCCGCTACGCGACAGCAGACAGCCTCCCCTTGCCCGCCACCCTCCTCGCCCACTTCGCGAATCCTTCGCCATCTGCCTGCTGACCCCACTTCTGCACCTCGCCATAACCCCTGATTCCACTCCTGGTTGGAAGCTGCTGATGTTTCTCCCGCGAATTCTCCTGCGCTCGTCATCTGCACGAAAACCAGACTGGAAGGCAATGGGCGACAGACTGACGAGATTTCGCCAAGGGCAGTGGCGCGGCCTTTACGACGAGGCGGCAGAAGTAGTGAACAACAACCCCCAACCACGCCACGTACCTGACACCACGGGAAAGCTGGCGAGAGCCGAGGGATTAGCGAAAAGGGGAAACCTGGCGAAGTCCCTCCAGTCGCTAACTGCCACGCCCGTCTGCTCGCCAACCCCTGACGTATTGGCTGCGCTCACGGCCAGGCACCCAAGGGCCACCGCAGCCATCCCAGTCTGGGTGCAAGACTTTGCCCCTGAGACTCTGCCCTCAATCACAGCTCGCGAGTTCAGGAAGCTGCTGGCCCGTTGCCCCAACGGCGTAGGGGCTGGGCCATCAGGGACTACCTTCGAGCACTTGAGAGATGCGGCCCTTGGGAACACCGACGTCCTCCTACAACTGCACGCGCTTACCAACACGGCGCTAGCGGGTAAACTGAGCGCCGAGGCTGCAGATCTACTCACCGCTTCGCGCCTGCTCGCCTTCACGAAACCCCAAGGCGGAACTAGGCCAATAGCCGTGGGCGAATGTCTGCTGCGTATTGTCACAAAGGCGGCGCTCTTCCTGGCCGCCCCTGCAGCGCGCGACCACTTCACCCCGCTACAATTCGGTGTGGCGATCGCGGGGGGCATCGAGGCAGCGATACACGCGGCCCGCACCTACCTGGAGGAGTTCCCCGGAGCAACGGCCCTCCAGATCGACCTGGCAAACGCTTTCAATGCCGTGGAGCGCGCGGCGGTGTTTGAAGGACTGAAAGGCACGAAGCTTGACACCCTGGTCCCCCTCGTCCGCCTCTCATACGGCCGCCCATCAGCCCTCTACCTCGACCACGATTTCGAGGCGGCGCCTCTACAGAGCGCGCGAGGCGTGCGCCAGGGTGACCCACTGGGGCCTATGCTGTTCGCGGCCAGCATCCATCCCTGTCTCGCTGCAACGGCGACGGCCCACCCAGAGGTGGTCCTCCTCGCGTACGCAGATGACATCACCCTGCTAGGCGAGACTGCGAGCTGCACGGCGGCCTTCAACCACCTCACGGAAGCACTTCTCAGCCACGGCCTGTCCCACAACCCCGCGAAATGCGAAGCATGGTCCGCCACAGCCCTGGAGCCCGCCGCTCTGCCCCACGGCGTCACTATCTCCCGGGACGGGATCCGCGTCTTGGGCAGCCCGATTGGGCCCCCCGCCGGCTGCGCTGCCCGAGTGCGGGAACGCCTTAAAGCTGCTGCTGAACCGCTCCCGCTCCTCTCCCAGATGGACCCGCAACTCTGCCTGCTCCTACTTACCCGCTGCGTGAGCCGCCGCGCTTCGTTCATGGTCAGAGCCACGCCGCTTGAAGCCCTACCGCTGAGGGAATGGTCCGCCTGGGGGGAAGAACTGTTCCATACCTACCTTGCCGCAGCACACACAGAAACCCCCAGAGCCCGGGTCGAGAGGGAGAGGATTTGGCACCAGGCCGCCCTGCCCGCGTCCCTGGGAGGCCTGGGCATCACCAACCCTGCAGTGGAGGGGGGACATGCCTACCTGGCTGCAGTCACTGCTGCTGCACACCTGCTGCGAACCTTCGGCGACGCGGCAAACCCTGCTCTCACTGGACTGCTGCCGCTAATGGACTCCAACGAGGAATCTACGTCCCTCCTCCCAAGGCGCCTTGCTGCCCTAGAAGCCGCGCTGCCTCCTGAGGGGATCGAGGCCCTCCAAGTGGGGAGACAGAGACCGGACGGGCCAAAGCTCCAACAGTCGCTCTCCCTCGCGGTTCAAACTGCAAGGTTCATGCAACTGCTCGAGAGCTCGCGGGAGATGGAGCTCAACCCACTGTTCGGACACACGCAGCGGCTGCAGTCCCTCTTGGGCCCCGGCGCAGGGGACTGGCTGCTCGCCGTCCCGCTGATCTCCTCCCTCCGCCTCGGGCCCTCTCAGTTCTCCACAGCGGCCTCCTTCCGCTTAGGCCTCCCCCTACCTGTGCCAAGGCGCTGCGACTGCAGATACCGCACCACATTCCCCGACGACCGCCTACCGAACCATTTGATGCGGTGCGAGAAAGGGGGGGGGAGAATTGCAACCCACAATGCCCTTCGGGACGAGTGCGCAAAGATAGCTGCGGAAGCGGGCTTCACCGTGCATAAGGAGACAACGGCTTACTCACCGGTCGAAAACCTCAAAGCGGATATCTCTATCCGCCATCCCGACACCGGTGAAGTGTGGATCTGTGACATCACGGTCACGGACCCCGTCTCCCACCAGGATGAATACGCCCGTAAAGCTCCCGGTTGGGCTGCTAGAATGCAGGCGGACAAGAAGGCAAGCAAATACGCCAGGCGGAGCGCTTGGGTGGGCTTTTACGCCTTGGCGGTTGAGACCTACGGTTACCCCTCGAGTGGAGTCCTGGAATTCCTTCGCAGCTGCGCGGAGTTAGCGGCCATGCGGCGGTTCAACGCCACCCCCAAGTCGAGGGAATGCGCCAAGCTACTCACCGAGTACCGGCAGCGGTGGAGTGTGACCCTGCAGAGAGCGCAAGCCACTGCCCTCAGGGATAAGACCCATGAGGCCCTCACGGCGGATGCGCTCGGCCTGCAGGGCCCGTTTACTCCAATGAGTGAAGGGCAGCTGTATCAGTTGATAGAAGACCCCTCCGGCCATTAGGGCCGGGCGGGGAGGGGGGGGCTGGGGCTGGGATAGTGCGGGGTTAGCTGCTGTTTTGCTGTAGCCTGGCCGTGAGATTGCTGTAGCCTTACCATCTGTGTACCTCGCTGACATTAATACCAAGGCCCGTTCGAGAGAGAGAGAGAGAAACGCCACTGCTGTCGTCAGACTCATAGAGGTGAGGTGGGGGTAGGAGAGGAGGAGGAGGCGGGGAGGTCGCATGTGGGGGGTAGGGGAGGAGGGCGGGGAGGTCACATGTGTCTGTGTGTGTTTGTGAGCTGGAGTCTTCCAGTATAGGGTAATTGTTATGAGTGGAGAGAGAAGAGACGGTTCTGCTTGAAGCTGTGGTCCTAATATCGAGTAGTGGGTATTGATCCCCAAACCTCTAGCGCGCTAAGCTACATCCCCTTGGTGGATATGGCAACTAAAAAAATAACAGATTGAACAGGGTATTCATGTGTCAATGATTAAGCTTGTTTACCAATTCTCAGCACCGATGACACTCTGTTCCTCGCTGTCTCCCTCTTTCCCTCTATTCGGGATTTTACTGATGAAGGTTTGCAAGAACCGTTACTGACACGGGCTATCTCCCTCTTACCACGCAACCCCACACCACTGCCGTGCCCCTTCCCTGTTGCCCCATCACAGCCGGTTGGCCTTGTTCCAGGGCCATGTGCGCCAGCAGAACCTCTCAGCACTTTTGCAACTCTCCTATCCCCCTTTTTCCCCCACCCTGTTCTCCTCTGTCTGGCGGGTTGCCCCATCAGAGCCGGGTGGCATTGTTCGAAGGCTATGTGCGCCAGCAGACCCTCTCGGCACTGTCGCTAGTGAAAGAATTTAGAATGTGAGTGCTTTTGCCTTTTCAGTGGCCATGAGTGTACAGGCGATTGTGTGAGTCTGATTTTTGTCGGTGCTGTTTTCCCAGTGTCGTTTGTCTTTGTCTGTATCATTTCTGCCATCCCCTGTCCATGTTGTCACCTCTCACCACCCCTCTCCACCCCTCTCCTATCCTTCCCATCCCTCTCCACCCCGCTCCACCGCTCTCCGCCCATGCCTGTGCAGCTGGGTGGCAGTGCTTCCAGGGCCCACCATGAGTGACGGACGCCAGACATTCCGCCTCGCTCTCTACCGATCCATGGCTGTGAGTGCCTGCATGCATGCATAGGTTTCAATGCTTGCTTGCATGGCAGTGAGTGCATGGCAGTGGGTGCATGGCAGTGAGTGCATGGCAGTGAGTGCATGGCTGTGAGTGCATGGCAGTGAGTGCATGGCTGTGAGTGCATGGCAGTGAGTGCATGGCAGTGAGTGCATGGCTGTGAGTGCATGGCAGTGAGTGCATGGCAGTGAGTGCATGGCAGTGAGTGCATGGCAGTGAGTGCATGGCAGTGAGTGCATGGCAGTGAGTGCATGGCTGTGAGTGCATGGCAGTGAGTGCATGGCTGTGAGTGCATGGCTGTGAGTGCATGGCAGTGAGTGCATGGCAGTGAGTGCATGGCTGTGAGTGCATGGCAGTGAGTGCATGGCAGTGAGTGCATGGCTGTGAGTGCATGGCAGTGAGTGCATGGCTGTGAGTGCATGGCATGTGAGTGCATGGCAGTGAGTGCATGGCTGTGAGTGCATGGCTGTGAGTGCATGGCAGTGAGTGCATGGCAGTGAGTGCATGGCTGTGAGTGCATGGCAGTGAGTGCATGGCAGTGAGTGCATGGCTGTGAGTGCATGGCAGTGAGTGCATGGCTGTGAGTGCATGGCTGTGAGTGCATGGCAGTGAGTGCATGGCAGTGAGTGCATGGCTGTGAGTGCATGGCAGTGAGTGCATGGCAGTGAGTGCATGGCTGTGAGTGCATGGCAGTGAGTGCATGGCAGTGAGTGCATGGCTGTGAGTGCATGGCAGTGAGTGCATGGCAGTGAGTGCATGGCAGTGAGTGCATGGCAGTGAGTGCATGGCAGTGAGTGCATGGCAGTGAGTGCATGGCAGTGAGTGCATGGCAGTGAGTGCATGGCTGTGAGTGCATGGCAGTGAGTGCATGGCAGTGAGTGCATGGCTGTGAGTGCATGGCAGTGAGTGCATGGCTGTGAGTGCATGGCAGTGAGTGCATGGCAGTGAGTGCATGGCTGTGAGTGCATGGCAGTGAGTGCATGGCTGTGAGTGCATGGCTGTGAGTGCATGGCTGTGAGTGCATGGCAGTGAGTGCATGGCAGTGAGTGCATGGCAGTGAGTGCATGGCTGTGAGTGCATGGCAGTGAGTGCATGGCAGTGAGTGCATGGCTGTGAGTGCATGGCAGTGAGTGCATGGCAGTGAGTGCATGGCAGTGAGTGCATGGCAGTGAGTGCATGGCAGTGAGTGCATGGCAGTGAGTGCATGGCAGTGAGTGCATGGCTGTGAGTGCATGGCTGTGAGTGCATGGCAGTGAGTGCATGGATGTGAGTGCATGGCAGTGAGTGCATGGATGTGAGTGCATGGCAGTGAGTGCATGGCAGTGAGTGCATGGATGTGAGTGCATGCACGACCTGCTGCAGTTTCGTGTGCCGTATTTTGACGTAGTTCTGCATGTGCTTTTGTGGCCCCTCCTCTTTGGCGCGCCTTTTTTTTACATAGCTGTACACATGCCTTTGCGCCATCTCAACATGTGTCCCTCCTCTCCCCCTCTCCCTCGCCCCCCAACTCACTGCAGTTTGGAGCGCCCTATTCCAACATAGCACTGCCTGTGCCTTAGAGGCGCCTCCTGAGAGTTCCCCAACCCCGCCTTCCCCCCTCCAAACCCGCCCACAACCCCTTGCAATTAAGAGCACTCTATTTCGACATAGCACTGCACGTGTGCCGCATTCACATGACCAAGCTGGACTGCATGCACGTTGCGAAGAGCCCACCCCCCGCCCACAGTAAGTCGATTTTTCAGTCGACTAAAAAATCGACGTACTACACCCCCCGCCCCCTCCCTCCCTCCCTCCCTCCCTGTTTGTTGCAGTTTGGCGTGCCCTATTTCAACATAGCACTACACGTGTGCCGCATTCACATGACCAAGCTGGACTCCGCCAACCCTGTACTCGTTATAGAGGACCCCGTTCATGGTATAAGACCTCCTCTTTCAATTCTACTCTTTCCTTTCATTCTACTCGTTCCTTTCATTCTAATCTTTCCTTTCATTCTACTCTTTCCAACGCTCTGTGCAATTCTTTGTTCTCTCTGTGAATATTTCTTCTCTGATTCATTTCTCCTGGGGGAACTGGCAGCTGAGCTCTCATCTTTCTGTGCTGTGTTGCTAATGGGATATCTTTGTTCTGTGTGTCTGATTTTTTAGATGTCTCATAATTCAGCATGTCTCTGCTCTCTCTGTGTGGTTAATGCTGTGTTTATTGCACTTTATGCCTGTGTGTGCCCATCCATATGTGTTAATGATTATCTCACATGCCCACCTGTGTGCATGTTCACACACGTATGCATGCATGTTCACACACGTGTGCATGCATGTTCACACACATGTGCATGCATGTTCACACACATGTGCATGCATGTTCACACACATGTGCATGCATGTTCACACACATGTGCCTGCATGTTCACACACATGTGCCTGCATGTTCACACACATGTGCCTGCATGTTCACACACATGTGCCTGCATGTTCGCACACATGTGCCTGCATGTTCGCACACGTGTGCGTGCATTCATCCCTCTATGGCAGGGAATAATGGCAAGTTGAAGCTCGTGAGCGACTTGGACTCACCCGACCCCTTGCAGATATTCCGCCTGCACGACGCCTGTCGTGGAACACCACGGGTGACTCCTCCCTCCCTCCACCCTTTCTTTTCTCTCCACTCACTCTCTATGTGATTTTGAGTCGACTCAAAAGCTCACCCGGCCCCTCCCAGATATTGCGCCTTTTGAGACGTCTCAAAAGACCCCTCCCAGATATTGCGCCTGCACTACACCTGCCGAGGAACGCCACGGGTGATTCCTCTCTTCCCTCTCCCCCTTCTATCCCCTCATTCTTCCCTCCTAACAATCCTTCCTCCTCTCACTCTTCCTTTTTTTCTCACTCGTCCCTCATCTCTCATGCTACCCTCCCTCTCACTCTTTCCACCCTCTCACTCTTTCCACCCTCTCACTCTTTCCACCCTCTCACTCTTCCACCCTCTCACACTTTCCTCATTTTCACTCTTTCCTGCCTGTCACTCTTTCCACCCTCTCACTCTTCCCTCCCTCTCACTCCTTTCCACTTGTCACTCTTTCCTCCCTCTCACTCTTACCACCCTCTCACTCTTCCCTCCCTCTCACTCTTCCCTCCCTCTCACTCTTCCCTCCCTCTCACTCTTCCCTCCCTCTCACTCTTCCCTCCCTCTCACTCCTCCCTCCCTCTCACTCCTCCCTCCCTCTCACTCTTCCCTCCCTCTCACTCTTCCCTCCCTCTCAATCTTACCTCCCTCTCACTCTTTCCTCCCTCTCTCTTTCCTCCCTCCCACTCTTTCCTCCCGTCTCTCCTCACTCTTCTTCTGCATGCTGCGTAGAGGGGGGAGGTGTTTTCTCAGCAGTACGCACATGCACTCATGCCGATCCATGCAGTGAAATGTACAACATGCACTTGCACTTGCACTTGCACATGAACATCCCCTGAACATGCCCCTTCACAAGTACCACACACTCACAATTCTGAACCACACTGCAGGCACAGCAGCAGCTGGGGGGATCAGGAGCAGCAGGAGCAGGACCAGTGGCAGCAGCAGGAGCAGGAGGGGGGGCATCAGGATCAAGGAGAGGGGGTCAGCAAAGCGGAGAGGAATTCAGGCGCGTGGTGAACGTGCACGCATGGCAGGATGACGTGGACGAGGACACGGCGTTCCAGCTGGCGCTCTCTGAGTCGATGCGCACCGCCAGCATTGCCAGCTCTGCCCGAGCCGATGCCCCTGGTGCTTCTGGTTCCACTTCCACTGCTGCCCAGGGCATGAGCAGAGGGGAGGAAGGAGCAGACGGCTTTATTCTCACCTATTCCTCCTCCGAGCCCCAGCCCAGATCTGGCCGCTCCCTCTCCTCCTCCTCTTCTGCTGCGGCTGCAGTACCATTCACTGCGTTGCATCGTTCTTCCAGGTCCGTTTCAGCCTCTGCTGACCGCCACCCGTTTGTCCCACCTGCTGCCCCCATCCCCTCTTCCTCCGCTGCTGCCGGCACTTCTTCTGGCGTTGCCGCTGGTCCTGCTGCTGGCACTGCAGCTGGTTCAGCCAGTACAGCCGGAACAGCTGGCTTTGCTGCAGCAGGGGCGGAAGGGGGTCGAATGCGCGACGAGATTGCGAATCAGTTCTCCTCTGTGGCACCGGCGCTCAACCGAGCACCAGCAGCAGCCGTGTCGTCGCTCTTTGCCTCCGGCCCACCGTCAGCACCCCCAGTGGACGCTCCTGCTTCCGCAGCAGCAGGACCACATTCGTCAACGCCAGCAGCCCCGGCGGCAGCACCAGCAGGAGCAGGAGCAGGAACAGGAGCAGGAGCAGGAGCAGGAGAAGAAGCAGGAGCAGCAGCAACAGGAGCAGAAGTAGGAGCAGAGGCAAAGGCAGGAGTAGCAACAACAGTAGGGGCACCATCATCATCATCAGCAGCAGCAGCAGCAGCAGCAGCAGCAGGGGCGTCTAAAGAGGGTCGGTGTGTGATTTGTTGGGACTCAGCAGCGCTTTCAGTGTGTGTGCCCTGCGGGCACGTGGCGGGGTGTGTGGAGTGTCTCACTAAGGTTAGATCCAAGGGCTGGGGCTGCCCTGTGTGCCGAGCTCCCATTCGAGAAGTGGTGAAGATTTTCCATGTTTAGGTTTTGTGCTTGTTTTGTGATTTTTTCTGTGAAGATACTATCTGCTGCCCCTATCCCCTCTTCCTCTGCTGCCGCTGCCGCTTCTTCTGGCGCTGCTGCTGGTCCTGCTGCTGGCTCTGCTTCTGACCACGCATCCAGCTCAGCAGGTACAGCTGGCACTGCTGCAGCTGGAGTTGAAGGGGGTAGAATGTGCGATGAGATTGCGAATCAGTTCTCCTCTGTGGCACCGGCGTTCAACCGAGCAGCAGCAGCCGTGTCGTCGCTCTTTGCTTCCGGCCCACCGTCAGCACCCCCTGTGGATGGTCCTGCTTCCACATCAGGAGCATCAGTGGGAGCAGGGAGAGTGCCAGGAGCAGCCGTGACAGGCCAGCCAGCATCAGCACCACACATCTTAGCGTCAGTACCACCAGAAGCAGCTGCGGCTCCAGTGTTCCCAGCTAGAGCAGCAGTGGCTGCGGAGGCGATTGCAACAGCAGCAGGGGCTCTCACAACAGCAACAGCTGCTGCAGCCGCGACAGCATGGCAGCGAACCACAGGCCACCGTGCTTCCTTCTTCGACCCTCCCCTCATCCAGTTCTCCCCTCCCAGCAGCCCCAGGCGAAATCCAAATCCTCACATCCACCCGCAGGCTCAACCACCCAACTTGCATCCCCATACACCCGCCAACGTCCCATCCCCTGCTGCAGCGTATGTAGCTATTCCTGGTGCATCTTTTTCATCAGTAGGTGGTGTGTCTGCTGGGCTTCACTCTCCAGGTGCGGCATCTGTAGCAGAGCTACATCCGAGCTACAACCCTGAGAGGGTGCAGGCAGAGCTCGCTAGGGCACAGAGCCAAGGGCGTGGAGCAGCAGGAGCAGCTGTAGCTGTAGGAAGGGCAGCAGGAACAGGAGCAGGAGAAGAGGCAGGGGCAGGGGCAGGGGCAGGAGCAGGAGCAGAGGCAGGGGCAGAGGCAGGGGCAGGGGCAGAGGCGGGAGTAGCAGTAACGGGAGGGGCACCAGCGTCATCAACAGCAGGAGGGGCGTCTAGAGAGGGTCAGTGTGTGATTTGCTGGGATTCAGCAGCGCAGGCAGTGTGTGTGCCCTGTGGGCATGTAGCGGGGTGTGTGGAGTGTCTCACTGAGGTTAGATCCAAGGGCTGGGGCTGCCCTGTGTGCCGAGCTCCCATCCGAGAAGTGGTGAAGATCTTCCATGTTTAGGTTTTGTTCTTGCTTTGTGATGTTTGTGGTGAGACAATTATTCTTTCATCGGACAGTTCTAGCCTAAATGTGCTACTCAGCCTATGTGTAACGCTGCTCCAGCAACAATTCGTTTACACATGGAATAGATCCATTGGCATTATTTGTTGTCGGGGTGGAAGTTTACAGAAGTGTGTTATGCACTTCAAATGCCTCATCACATCTGATTTGTTGTTGTCCAGTTGCGCGTTTTGCGGGCTCCTTCATAAGTCTCTTCCTGTTATGAGTGCAATTGAGTGAACGAACGAGAATTGCACTATCGAAGCAAGAGTACAATGAGCGAAGGCATGAGCGAAGAATATACCGTCACCCCCCGGATATACCCCCATGGGGGGCTATAGTATAACATGTTTTTTTGAGGGGGTGGGCTTATAATATAGTAAATTTATAAGCGCCGGCGTTTATAATTTGTCAAATTTGAAATTTGTTTTTAAATATACCAAATCGAAGCATTCTCAAAGGCGGATTCACCTGGGTCGAGAACGTTCGAAACTGTGCATGCATTGCGCGTGAAACGGCCAACAAGGCGTGGCTTCACGCCTTCCACGCCTTGTTGGCCAGGCCAGGTTCATCGAACGTGAACCTGGCCCATGCCAGTGCACACGTACCTCGCATCACAGCGGCCCAATCAGGGTTGCATGCGATCGTGGGCACGTCGTGGTTCAGCCACGGTGTGCCCATCAACAGCAAAATTCCCCGCCACCGAGGCAAGGAGCTGCCCAGCTCAGCTCCTCTGCGGGGAATCTTGACTGCGGCCACCCTTTTCCCGCAGAGGAGGCCGGGCCGCGAAAATGAAGGGGTCTCGGGCGAGGGCTTCATACAGCCCTCATTCTCGACTTTTGCCTTCAGTTTCTTTGTTCGTTTGGCCTGCCGTGGCCATGGCGGGCCTTCCAGGCACACATTTCTTGTTCCGCCGCCATCCTGCTGCCAGAGAAAACACCCGCCGAGACACCTGTGACTACTCTCAATGGCAGTCGCGCCCTGCGCCCGTCCCTCCGTGTCAACTAGTAGCTCCTCCCGTTCCTCCCACTCCTCCAACTCCTCCTGCACCTCCCGCTCCCCCGGCGCCTCCGGTTCCTCCAGCTCCTCCGTCCCCTCCTGACCCGCCTGTGTTTGGTGCTCCACGTCAGGGGGTCCTGCAGCTTCTCCTCCCTCCTGGCTACTCGGCGTTTGACGCGTACCTGTCCGAGCCCGACCGCGCCGGTGGCGCATCGTCTTCCTCCGCACCGTCGCCACGCTGGGGAGCCCCGGCTGATTGCCCGTTGGACGAATCCGCGACTGGTGCGGAGGATGACGTGGAGTTTTGGGCTGCCGACGGTCTTCCAGAGCACCTGCCTATTCCCACCTTCCCCCCCCCCCAATAAGAAACGGCCCCACCCTTCTCGCGAGAGTCGCGATGCCCGTCCTCCCTCCCCCAGGCACAAGCCTTCAAGTCACAAGCGGCACTCTTACACATCGCAGGAGAAACTCCAGTGGATTCTCAAGCTTGAGTCCGGGCAGATGAGCGTGCGGCAGATGTCTCGCCAAACCGGCATCTCCCGAAGGTCACTCGCAGAATGGAAGACCCGGAAGGCTGACCTGGAGGGCGCGCATGCTGCTCGCAAGCGTCTTCATGGGCGCGGAAGGAGCTCGTGGTATCGCAACATGGAAGCTGAAGTCTACAGGAGGTTTCTTGCCCACCGTAAAAAATGTCTCGCGGTCTCGATCGCTCGCCTACAGAAGTGGTCGCATGAGTTGATGAAAGAATTGCACCCACAGGTAAAGTGGTCCGGCTCGCAGCGGTGGACTGAGCGGTTTCGCCGCCGTTGGAATCTGACAACCCGAGCGAAGACCAGGGTCGGCCAGAAGCTTGCTGCCAGTGAGTTTTGTGGGAAATGGTTGCAGTTTAATGTGTACTGCTTTTTGTTGTTTGTCTCTTTATGTTTCACGGTTGAATTTTAACGCGTCATTAATACTGTCTTCTCTCTTTCCCTCCCACCCGTACTCCCAGACTGCGAGACTGACGTCAGGAATTTCTGGAAGTTCGTGCGTCACACCCGCCGCCAATACAAGATTGACCCGCAGTGGATAATAAACGCGGACCAGACACCACTGTGGCTCGAGATGCCTGCCGAACGCACAGTCGATGAGGTGGGTCTGCGCTCTGTGCCTATCCGCAACGGCGGCTATCAGAAGGAGCGAGTTACGGTGATGCTCGCCTGCACTGCCAGCGGTGAGAAGCTGAAGCCGTGGGTCTTCTTCAAACGGAAGACCCTGCCTAAAGGGGATTTCCCTTCAGGTGAGCATTAACACCCACTGCTGCATGTTTTTTTTTTTTCAATGTCTACTAATGTTGTATGTGCGTTTGTGGCTGTGCAGATGTTACGGTGTCCGTCCATCCCAACGGTTGGATGGACGCGGACGGAGTCATCGAGTGGCTCGACGGGGCAGTGAAGCCGTTCGTCCACCCCAAGTTCGGAGTGAGGCCCCGCAAAGCGGTGCTCGTCTTGGATTCGTACCGCGGGCACCTGACTGCGGAGGTGAAGAAGAAGTTCGGGGAGCTGAACATCGTCCCTGCCGTTATCCCAGCTGGCTGCACCTCGGAGATTCAACCTCTGGACGTCGCGGTGAATCGCTCCTTCAAGGCATCCGTTCGCCAGCTCTACCAGGAGTGGTTCGAGAGCGAGGGGGTCGACACATTGACAAAGAAAGGTGAGAGAGGCAGGCCATGCGTGTGCTGCTTTATCAGTTTGTAGCGGTGGCTGACTTTTGATTGTTTAAATTTTATGGCAGGCAACATCAAGAAGCCACCACCCGAGCTAACGCTCAAGTGGATATCAGCGGCTTGGAAGGCCGTGCCCAGGGACTTGATTCAACGGGCTTTCCTCACCTGTGGCATTAGTAACGCCCTGGATGGGTCCCAGGACAAGATCTGCCTGCAACACAGGCGCGACGAGCTTGAGGGCGACGAAATAGACATCGACGACGACATTGCAGCAGATGGCTTTTTCTGCAACAACGTAGAAGAACCAGAGTCAGACTCTGAGGCCGACCCGGATGATCCTACCGCAGCTGATGACTAGATTACGTAGATCTAGAAATTGCTGTAGCCTGTGAGACTCGTAGGTAGATTTAGAACTGTAATTAGAAAAAACTGTAGATAAACTGACTTTGTAGTTAATTAGATGAAAATATAAGTTGTCAATGTGGTTAGTGAAGCTTGTAGAAAAAAAATATTTAAAAAAGTGGCGGTTATAATGTGTAAGGTACAGGTATGCGGCTATAATCCGTACGACTCTAGGGTATGCGCTTATAATCGAGGAGGGGATATAAGCGCCATATGCCTATTAGAAGCGCCAGGCGCTTATCCTAGGGTGGCGCTTATATCCGGGGGGTGACGGTATAGCGAAACTACGGTGGTAACGGTAATGGACTATGGTTGTCGCGCGACGAGCCTGGGACTGAGGTTGGGAAAAGTGTCGAAGCGGAGGCCCGGAGCGCGGGTTACCCGCCGAGCCGTGAGGTCGGGATGCGACGTGCGAAGGTGGCGGGCGGTTTGTCGATGCGAGGGTTGCGAGTGGTAACTGTGAAACAAGGAAAACAGGAATGAAATGACTATGAAAGGTTGGGTACAAATACAACCCTAGAAACCCTGTACCCCATATGTGCTACCCCACTATAGCCTACAGAAACTATGTCATATAAATCTGACACACCCCCATAGGCAAAGTGGGGGAGAACAAGGGGTCACAAGACCAGTCAGGTAAAGCAAAGCAGAGCAAGCTCA